TATCCCAGACTAACGGGGTTCGGGTTTTCTACGACAAACGGAATGACGTCACACCAACGGCATAGATGTAAGCAAAAGCCAAGTTTGGTACTCGGTTGATTAAGATCGTATTAGGCGATCAGGAACCAAGTTCAAAACAACCAGCAGAACAAAACTAACGCGATCGTAAAGCAACCACGAGTCAACACGAGGAACAACTAGTGCAAAAAGAGTGGATAGTTTCCGCTGTAAGATTCAGAAGCTCCTTGAGTGGCAATATTTACCGGAATAAACCACGTTTGACGTGGAAGAACTGCACAAAAAGCTGAAAGCAAGGACTTGCCAATGAATCACGCACACATCGTCACATTTGGTATCAAGTCTTAGGTTAAAGAAAATAAAATGGTAAAATTCTATCACCATGTCTCTCAACGACGGCAAAAAATAGACGACGTTCTGTATCCATCATCCAGTCACATATTCAAACGTACATTTTGAAATCGCCTAAAGATGTTGATGATCATAACCTGAAATTCGACAGGTCCGAAGCCAAGCTCCTTTTTTGGTCCACCTAATTTCAATTTGAAATCAATATTGTCAAAACAGCGTCCTACCTCTTTGTGCGTGGAGCACGTGTGAGAAGCACAGTGATAATTTCAGTCAATGATGTCAAAAATACGATTCCTTCTCAAGTTTAGCAAAAATGTCAGGCTTATCAGAGATCGGAAAGATGATGGAAAAGAATGGGAAATCTGGATAACGAGCAAGACAGATAAATTTGCGTAAGCGTCGGAACGGTGCAAACAGTAAAGAACAGTTATTGCCAAAACCGGTAGAATTGTGGAAACGTCTACCACATTGCACCACGCATTAGTCGCTCAGAATTTATAATGACCTCCGTTCTGTTTTAATCTCAAACACTGGCAGAAATGAACACAAATTCATCGAGTCTCTTGAGCGGTGCAACTGCTCACCACCTACATACTGAAAATAAATTTGCTTGGATAAGAAGATATCCCGAAAGCCATATGGGTCTCCCCTGACAAGCCATGATGTGGTCACCTAACACAATACCACGCGTGACTGAAGGATTAATGGGGCTATATTCCAGCTAAACACGATTCAATCATAAGAAGTGTTGAAACTCATTCAAACAATTCGGGACTTAAGTATTCATGAAGGCTCATGATGTTTTCACTGCGGTTTTCTCGCAGGGGCTGACTTTACTTCTAAAAGGAGATCCAGAAACATACCACTTCCGTCAGAGACAGAATGGATAAACTATACTTTGCCCCGCTGATCACAAGCCAATTTTTTTCAGTACTTAAAATCCCAACCTCTGGAAATAACCGGGGTCGAGATGCCTCAGTGGTTATAGCGCGAATTTACTGACCAGAAGGTTCGTGGTTCGAATCCAACCACTGCCTCTCGACATCGCCTGTCTAGGCGACCGGGCAATATCCCCTGCTTCCTTCTGGTAGCATGGCAGTTAGGCACCGAAAGGGTGCTACAGATGAACTGTTTTTTGGGGGGAACAGCCGTTTTATGTCGAGATTCCCGGGCAATATCCCCTGCTTCCCTCTGGTAGCATGGCAGTTAGGCACCGAAAGGGTGCTACAGATGAACTGTTTTTTGGGGGGAACAGCCGTTTTATAGAAGTCGAGATTCCTAAAGTGGGACAAGAAGGCATTGGTAACTAACATTCGGCGAATTCGACTTCACTGTCAGCCCAGGAAACAAAGCTATCCACGTATGTCTGCATGAACTCGAAAGAGGAGGGTATGAAAATCCGAAACTCAAGACAAGTGATGAGTATTCACTTTAAACTAGGCTCGACTTGTAAGGAGTTGGCACCTAACTATGCCATAAAACGCCATCTTTTCACCATATGCATGCAGATCTCACCACAGTTTGAGGAACGCGGACTGCTCTGGATCTTTATGGAGACAGCTTATCCTCCCGTCAGCCACATTACGGTGAATCGAACAAGCCTCTCTTTTCAGTGGCGAGCACCATCAGGGTAATGAAAGCTATTCAGGAATGGACTTACCGAACAGCATCCGAATTTCGATTCCGCATGCTTTAGAACTCTAATAATCCAGGTTTATCTTACTTTATTGCAAACAGTGCCCGAGGAAATCTCATAAAAATGCAGAATTATGTGGCAATATGGCTTAGCTAGCACGTTCTCATCCAATTAACGAGGTAGTAAAGATTATCAATGAAATGCGTGGTGGGACTGGCACTCCATAAATCAATTGCGTGATTAACAGAGAGCACGATTCACAGCAGATTAGGGCTGTAAAAGATACTCATTATTGAGAGTGTATTTTATGGGGCACACGTGATCGTTTTGGTTGTCGTTAGTGCGTGAGTTCTCACTGACCTAGTTTACCATTCATGCAATCCGTTCCATGATTGGTTCCCTTCGATGTTGATCGATGCTCCATAGCACACCCATAAAGAGTAAGCGGACGATACAACCGCAACCGGCTTTCATAAAAGAACTGCCTAGTAACAATAGCACCCACAACAGAAAGATGCCTCATACGCATCTGCAAATGACTGCACAGACGCCTTACGCGCATTACCACGGGCGCGAGTGACACGGAAAATATGGGCGTAGGCGCGTACGTACGGTTGAAGCGCCGTCAGTCGGTTTGAACCCCGCTTTATAGAGGTTTGGTCAAGTGTACACAACAGAGACCCAAGCGAAGAGAGCTAAGTCTTCTAGAGTCTGTCATCCACAATTTACTGTATGATCCCACCGACACAGGCCATCCCAAAGGAAACCAAATATCCTTTGACTCTATTTTTGGGGTTGTTTTTCCTAGGTTCAGAGTAGGCCCGAGTGGCGCTGTCGTAACATTTCCTGATTTAACGTTGATTGGATTCATTGCGAAGGGGTACTTACCGGTTCCATCCAACAAGCTGTTTTATCAATAACACCAAATGAATTCGATCAGATCAGTAAGCACCCACCCCTTAAGAGAGGGAGTATTCTGTCTCTCTCGAACAGAAGGTTGTATACTTAGCTGATGAGGAACACTTACGAATGACCTACCTATGGGGCACCAGTATAACGGGGGCACTGGATTGTTTTCATAACTTGCTGTCTCAGTTTAGGTCTTCTCTCAGTTTAGGTCTTTTAAGAATACCTTAAATCCGCAGAGAGATACCGTACCTATTACCGGTTCCCAGAAATTCGAGACTAATCATTGAACCAAAGAACAGAGACAGTGGAGAGATTGCCTAAAAGTCGTTCGACTTAGCATGCGGAAACACTTCTTTAAGACACTGAAGTTCACACGAACGGCGGAGCGTTTCTCAACTTCACATGACTTCGAAACAGAACAATTTAACAAATATTCTGTCAATTATTTTTGGCCTGGATGGAAGAAAAACGTTACTTTGATGGATCTTACGGGATAGACTGTGCAATGGTCATCATCACCATCGATGGCATAACATCAGTGTTCAGCACCGATGCTTCGCTGAGCAACAGAAAGGTCGAAATTCACTTCTTCTATCAAGCTCAACAGTGGCCTGTGACATCAGTGCTTTGGGAGCTGTAGTGCAAAGCTCAAACGGATTCAGCGTTCTCCAAACACGTTGGCAAGGTGTTATTCTCTTGATGAAGTGAGTCGGACTTCAGATAATCGACGCGGTAGAACATTTTCGGAGTCGGAAGACAATAATATGAAGAATATAATAGTCCATATACTGCAAAAAATAAACGAACTTCACACGATTGAGGAAATGCCAACCGAAAATTGCATGCTGAAAGCCCTACACTTTTCCGCTATGAAAACTTCTTATGGGGAACGGTCGAAGTTCTAATTTGAAAAGGGCACTTTAGCTGACCACATGAGAAGACAATATTGTACACAATATATTGGAAAGTGCTTAGAACCGAACAAGAAGTTATCGGTTCAGAAGAATCTGAAATAAAATCAGTGAGTTTATTGCTGGGTAACTTCTCACTCCTGACATGAACGCTTCGTCTCCCCGTTGAAAGGACGTGAGACTGCGTACATAAAATTAAATTCAACGAACGCAATAAGGTCCATATAGGATAGACAGATAGAAAACTACAGACTCAATTGGTGAGCACAACAGAATAAACAGATCACCGGCGAATTTACCGGAATGCAGTGCACTGGTCAACCAATCTGTGATGGTGCGACACGCACTAAGCACACGGCAGATCTGGAAAATGCTGAAGTTTTAAGACGGGAACTGGATACACCCCACAACAGCTGCTGATCGAGGCGATGGAAACCGCCACCCGTGTGCATGAAACAGATGGTGCAAATCCGGCAAGCGTGTGGAGGATGGCTCTAGAAAACCCGGACTGACATGTGAGGGCATGATATCGTCAATAAAGCGGAGTCGTCGGCAGAAATGGCGGAAAGCTCAACCACACCAGAATTCACCCAATGTTCGCAGCACTAGCCCACACACAGGGACCTTCGTATGAAGTGGATAGAGAGAACAAGACACCAGACCTGGCCCAAGTTCATGCAAGTTCCCCTGGCTCAACGTTTTTAACAATTACATACCCACAGTAACAAACGAAATCTCTTAACTGATTTGGCCTGCTGGCAAGAAAAGGTATTTCTGATTGGCTTCACTTCTGCGTTAAAACTCGACCATCCCTGTAATATGATCCCTTGGCCGGACGAAGCATTTGTTAAAAGCAACCCAGTAACAAACCTACCGACTGTATACCAAAATTCATTTTCTGGGAAGCTATTTGAACGATGAATCTAGTAAAGTACCAAGGCGTTTCCCGTACAACCACCAATATCTTCTAGGAGAAAACTATCAAGACTGCAAAATATTAGACCTTAAGACTACACAATAGTCCACATCAGTCCACAATAGTGGACTGATCTACATCGATCCCCATCGATTGAATGCACTGGTTGCCGTTTTTGGGAGTTTTCTAACGGAATGAAAAGTAATGAGAATCCCCAGGACCTGGAATTTCGAGGACTATAGGTAAGGGGGAAACGTACGGCGTGAATCTGAATTAAACATTCCCGCGAGGTCCTGTTGGTCTCCAGCACCAAGACGATTGCGAATTTGACGAGAAACTGCAGGGTATGGTTGATTATGGCGGTTCAGGTCGGACATGCTTGCGCTCCGCCGACGCAGTTGGTCGGCTAGAAAGTCCTGTCCCTGTGAATCATAGATTGGGCGAGAAGGGTACATACAGCAAGAATACAATAGCATGTCCGACAAGCGAAAAGCAAGAATAAGAATGAATTGCACTCATACAAATACGGATGCCTAAATATCGAGAAACCACTTCAAATTACTAGCTCAAATTTCCTAATGGATTTTAGAACCATGGAGACAAGATTTCAGTTCTGGGACGTTTTGGTCACAATTCCGCACTGTGGAAATGAGTAATCTACTCGGTGGGCAACTGGATGTTCATTTCACGTAGGGTAGGCACTTCATGGACAGTGCAAACCAAATACTCGGTCCAGGTTATTGCGTGAGTTTCTTAGCCCTCGTAGACTATACCTGCGGTACGGGGAAAAATAGTAACAGAACCAGAATCTGGTTGCAGTATTTTATGCCATCTGGTGTCAACCAGATTTACTCTGCATCCTGTGACGCACCAAAACTCATATCTTTGGCAGTGTACGAAACTGCCCATGGTAGCCTTAATGGCTACAACACGTTGACTAAGGTCGATTATCCTGGTTTACACTTTTCAGGTTTAGATGCGACACTGTTTCTCATGGGACAGAGTGGGTGAACATCTAAGTAACTTAAAACTAGTAGTCTCGAAAGCAAAGCATATAGGGCAAGACATTCAAGAGAGCTAGACTGCTCGAGATAGCAACAAATTGTTTTTTACATGATAATTCACCTAATAATTTAGTGTTTAAGGTCCGCTTTCTACCGGACCTCTCTCTGGATAGACTCCTCATGATCAGTCCTTTCAAACAAAAATTCCTAGAGGCGACTCATATGCATAAAATAAGCAGAGGGCTCAGGAAACGGAACTCTGAATAAGTATAAGCGTCCTTGACACAAAATTTAAACTTGGAATCATCCCATCGAGGATGCCCATACCCCAAAAACATGGTTCCTTACCCCCAAAATGAATAACTCACTTTCTGAGAGGGAACAAAGCAAGAGATTTTTCACGAGCTATATTTACTCGTGCTGAATTCGCGTTCTGACAGACAGGTTAGGTGATGTTTGGATTCATCAGTTGTTGATCTGTTCCCTAAGCGTCGCAACCCATAGATTAGCAGAAGCTGCAAAATGATGTTTATTGGGACACACCATAGCACAGCTTGTCAGCTCTAAACCATGTCAAAGGTAGGTTGGTTCCAGCTACTAAAGTTTCGATCTCCGAAAGATAGGAGACTAGGAAAGATATAAACAATCTCTAAACGTGGTCAACCGATATCGAACCACTCTGGTATTCTTAAAAGCTGGAGAGTGGGGAACCATATTTCGGAAGTGATAGATTCGATGCATGGGCGCCATTGACTATGTACCTGAACCACGTCAGGAAGTCTAGACAACTAGTGATAAGTCGAGTCCCGGCAACCCTATTCAGGGCGGTGGCAGTTGTCAACCCGACTGAACCTACTGTTTACGGCCTTCATACTTCGTTGCCAGGTCATCGACTATAGCTCTCTCGGCCGTTTTCACTCACCGCACAGCTAACAGAAAAGGTCTGTGAGATAGACGTTACACTGATATGAAGTACGTGTCCGAGCCACTGTAACTGATGCAGTGTGATTTGCTCGTCTATCGTGAGCGAGTTCCTTATTCACAAAACCATCTGGCGTGCCTTAGCGTTGCTCATGCGATGCTCTCACCAGAGCCCGCCAATGATTTAGAGGCAGCAATGGTAAGATACGGACTTTTCGCAAATCCGCTGGGCGTATTTGCCAGGTTTCTGATTACCAAAATAGTATAGATTGTACTACCGCGGTTTATGCACTGCCCTTGGCGTAAAACAAAGGCTTCAGGTATCGAGGCTTGGCGAAGCTGCCCTGACCATCCCGATTCGAAATCTTGTTCATAGCCAGTCCACCAGAACTTTTAAACCTCTTCAAGTAGATTCACTTTTTTGCCACGTCGACAACCTGGTGCAAAAGCATACGGTCTAGGTTTGATGCACTCTACTTCGCAGTGGACCACTTACTACTGCAGCAGAAATACTTAGATGATTTAAAAAGACTTCCATCTCAAAAGGATCAGAAGCAATGGGTGCAATCTCGTCTTCGTAATCGGTGTGAGACGTTAGAGACAAAGTGGTCTAAACCGGTAGGTCAGCGAAAAAGTGGAAGGGGAAAAAGAAAAAAAGGAGTGGTGTGAGAGGGCAGTGGAAAATGCTCATGCAACATCCGAAGTCTCTCCTACCAGGTTGGTCAATGGATGGAGGGATGAAAAACACATTCTCCTGACTCTCCAATTTGGGAATCGGAACAACTGTTGTACTGTTCCTTGCAATTTCAGCTACTCGAGTAGTCCAAAGTCAACCGGTAGAAAGGAGTCTTGAGAAAACCTTAGAACCATCTATTGGTTTGTATGCTGGACTGGGATTCCAGAGCCCCAGTAGAGGATACCTCAAACAAACCAATATCTTCGACTTAGGCAACAGGACTGTTCACTCATTCCAATAATTCTGTCAAGAAAACTTCTTCCTATGTCCAACGCACTCACAATCAAAACAAAGTAACAACACGAAGGTAGCTACTGTATTTGACAGCACATAACGCCCGTACTCTTAGAAGAATTTGCCAACGAATATTACCCACTCAGATTTTACCCGAAAATAGTTTAGTATCCTGCGCCGCTTAAGCTGCACATACATTATATGATCTCCATCGCAGATCCAGAACATTTAACGTAGAGACACTCAGTACTGGGGCTAGAGACAGAAAAGGTACATTTTAGAAACAGGTAGACATCTGTAACTTTCTTGAACGAGGTCACGAATACCTACCACCTGATCGACTTGGTAAGAACAAATGATAAGTAGACCAGTTGAGAAGGAAACAGCCCACCAAGAGCCCGGGTCCATGAGAATGAAGCTAGGATTCACTCTGGGCGAGAATACACAGAGGATGTATTTACTATACGGAGGTGAGAATAACCAGTGCCATAGCCTGAATTCTTACAGGTGTTGCAATCTTGTATCTCGCAGCATGACAGTGCACTTTATGAGTGCAAAGCATATCCCGAAAGACTGGATGGCCTTGATTAGCTTTTCTAGTAGTGCTTGCATTTCCTGCTCTTCAAAAATGAGGACGACGTCGCCTGCAAATTTCAGGTGAAGTCTCCCGCTAGGAGAGATCTGAACACCGGAGGACTTCGAAACCATCCATAGTTCGTCTTAATATCACATTGATGACGAAATCCAACAGGAACGGACACCCATGTGGTACACTGTTTTTTAGTTCAAAAAACCGCCCAATAGTTTCAGCTACACAGAATCATTCACTGAGAGTATGGAGAATGAGGGAATCAGAACCACGCGTTGGAAGCGATGGCCCAACTTGTACATTAGCGACAAACAGAGATTTGTACAGTACGGCAGGAAGTGACAGCGGAAAAGTGACTGCAATAGCTTTGACACAAGGACGCCAATGGCTGCCCGACACAACCACATCCGCCAGTCACTAACCACTGGTATTCCTTGTCCGATGGTCCTCATCCAAGGGGACCGCAGATACCGATGCGAATCAGTTGGTTAGTAAGGGCTTTCATACCTCGATGTCAAGTCATGAACTGGTCGTCTCTCGGTAGTCTCCATTTCATACAAGAAAGAGCGGAAGGGACTCCATAGGTAGAAGAAACTTCTCTGGCATACGACATGGCCTAAAGAGAGCCAACTATGGAGTAACCAGCTGATCTATCGAGGAAGAATGAACTTTCCCGAAAATCATCTAGCGTACTTGAGCAATACTGATCTGGCGTTTACATCAGACTAGTGAAAAGCCTCGGAGGTATCTATGATTAAACAAAGGATATCCGAAGATCTCCCTCACGCAACGTCCACGTCTCTGATCCACGGATATCTGGACCACAGCATTGTAAATTCCAACCTTGACAGTCAAGCCCATGTCACGTTAGTGCTACAAATGCCAGAGACTGGTAAACGCTGCCCTAGTCTTTGAAATCGGGACGTGGTTTTGTCTTTCTCAATTGCGCTATGAACTATGGCGGTACCAAGATGGATGAACTTATCTACAACATCCATCGGTTCACCAGCAGGCATGGGATCTGGGTTGAGCCCACCAAGTCATGAAGTGGCACTTTGGACTCTACAGGCGCAAAGCGTCTAGCGTACAGTGCAGCAGAATTACCTGGGTTATTAAAAATAGTTTGCATTCCCAGAGGATATGACCCAAGAATAGGAATATTATCGACACACCTAATGCTCATGAGCGACCGGCTTATGAGTATTCCAATACCCGAGTTGTTAGAAGCAGGTAAAGACAAGAGAAGTATATTGGAAACGAAATTAAGGAGGAAAGACCATTGACAGCATCTTCGCTCGGCAACTAGATGTGGTGAGCTCAGGAAGGAATCTGCAGAAGACACGTATTCGCCCACAGAAGGGCGTATAACGCCCCCTAGAAAAGACATCTTCATTACCAGACACTGCCCAACAATCAGCAGTCAAAAGCAGATCTGAGATCGAGAAAGAAGATCACTGTTGGTCGTCGGAAAGAGTAGCGAAATTCCGGTACTTGTCCCAAATTAAAAATATGATCGGTGTATTCACACGAGGTCAAAAGCTACCCTGGTTCCCGCAAATTTGACTTCAGAAAATGGATCAAACTTCGCAGACTAGCATCAGAGAGAATCTTGAAAACAACAGCTATAAGGCCAATGCCCCCGTCTTTGTGACAAGTACTTGCGATCCTTTTGAAAGTGATGGCATCGCCGGATTAGTAACGAGGTTATCATAAAAGGGGTAGTTCGTTAGCTCCATGTACTTCAATCATAGAAAGCATCCAAGGCCATTGACTACAGTGGCTCAGTCATGTGCCACGTATGCCGAAACATCGTCTGCCGAGATTGTTGTTGTTGTTCTCCAAGCCCGTTTCACAATGGCGCAAGCCGCGAGGTGTACAACGCATGACTTCGCAGAAGAGCGTTAATAAAGATTACGAAGAGTGTGGATGCTGGTGTTGTACGCCTTCCAGGATGGGGCTTCCGTGACCCCACCCATGGTTGGCTGGAGACATTGCAAGGAATGGCGGCTGATCGATGTCAGTAGCATTCGTGCTGTCGGTTTCTTTCCAGATTGTCTGATTGAGGGCTTAGAGGAGTAGGCACCTCAGATTGCCTGACATAGACCAGTATTAGGCCCCCTCGCTCACCCACTTTTTTCTCTTCTTTTGACTATGGGGCTTTAAATATAACTAGATGAGCTGTGGTTGTTAGGTAGTGATGTCGCTGTCTCTGACGATGATGATGTTGAGTTACGATAGCTCTCCGAAGTTTGTGGATAGGCATGCGTTTAGCTGCATTGCGTGGGTCTGAAGGGAAACGAACTGTCAGGCGTGCTCGCAGCATCGCGTGATTAGACTCAAGTTGTGTGTCCCAGAAGGAACCGCGGTCTCGAATTGTGGCTTTCCACCGGTGGCCTATGGCCGTTGTATGTCCGACACGAAGAGACTGGACCTTATCGTGGTGTGGCGGTTTGTGTACCTCGGCGACCCATTGAGCTATACTGGGGGGTGTCCGCGTGACACTCACAGAGTCTCTCATACCATGTTGGTCAATGGTTAGAGGTCAGACGAACACAGTCTCCTGGTCCTCCAGGTTGGCGGTTGGAACATGTATGGCGACTTGTTCCGTAGAAAAGGTAATGCATTTGCATTTCCCCGCCAAACACCGCTGCCTTGCGGTTAGGCTTTTGAGCCAAAGGCTTTGGTTGAGGACCCTAATCGTCCTCCTGTCTAGGTGTGGGCGCCCTGGCAGTATCCCAGCCCACGTACAACCATGAATTAC